AAAAAAATAAATTAAAAAATTAAATAAATACCAGTTTTTTTTTGTGCTTTCCTAAATAATGAGACATGATACGGTACCAGTCGTAAAAAGAGAAGCTGTAAAAAAAAAAAGGTGCACATAAAACTAGGCCTATAAACAAATATTCTGCCTCTGAGCGTAGAGAACTTAAAAAAACAACACCAGATGAAATCAAAGAAGAATAAAATCACATGGAATTAAAAAGGAGTGAAATAAAATATATTATGTGAATTGTTTTATATTATTTTGTGAAAAGCAAAACAAGCTAAATTGCCAGAAACTGAATCGGCGAAGCCTGCGTTTGGTCGGTGTGCCAGAAACTGTTTTTTAGAAAATACATGAGGATACATATATGATATGATATATATATATATATATATGTATATATATGCATGTATATGTGTGTAAATTTATTTTATATTTTTATATTTGTATATTTTATATTTATAATACATATATTATTTTTATTTTATATTTACCTATTATATTTTATATTTAAAAATTCTAATTGTAAATATTTATTTTATCATATAATATTTATATATTATGTATTTTTATTTTACAAATGTTAAAAATATAATATAAATATATATATATAAATATTTTAATAAATAAATAGATTTATTATAAATATAACATATACAAATATAAAAATATATTCAATTATTTCTATATTTTATATATATATTAAAGTATATTTACTTTTAAATTAAAGAACATTTTTAAAGTAAGCTAAGCAGAATGAGGTTTGGTTGCTGGAGCTCATGCTGCCTTCAAGTCCCTCTGGGAAATTCTTTCTTGAATTAGTTCAGGAATCATAATTACTAACCCTAAAGAAGTTCAATGACTTATTTTGATCAACACTAATTAGTTCCACCATGATATTTTTAATCGATACGCTTCCAACCAGAAAATCCTGGATGATCCGGCTGATGCTCGGCTCATAAATCTGATTCCTCCATCCTGACATGACGGCAGCGTCAGACTGTACTTCTCTCGTACTGATTAGAGATTTCAAGGCTGAAACAGAGTCAGAAGTGTGTGTTAATGGCTTTTAACCCAGAACACACAGACGGGCAGAATCAAGGACTCATTCAGCGTCTCGGCTTTGATTCGTCCCTCACAGGTTTCAAAGGGTGAGATGGTGTTATCGATCCGTCTGCTCTTCAGACGCTTCGGCCCATTTCTGATCACTAACAACTTCTGTGTTCACTGTGCTTCACTGTGCTTCGTTGTGCTTTACTGTGCTTCACTGTGCTTTATTGTGCTTCACTGTGTTCACTTTGCTTTACTGTGCATCACTGTGTTCACTGTGCTTCACTGTTCTTTACTGTGTTCACTGTGCTTCACTGTTGTTCACTGTGCTTCACTGTGCTTTACTGTGCTTCACTGTGTTCTTTTGCTTTACTGTGCATCACTGTGTTCACTGTGCTTCACTGTGGTTCCCTTTGCTTCACTGTGTTCACTTTGCTTCACTGTGCTTCACTGTGCTTCACTGTGCTTCACTGTGCTTTACTGTGCTTCACTGTGTTCACTGTGCTTCACTGTGCTTCACTGTGTTCACTGTGCTTCACTGTGCTCACTGTGCTTCTCTGTGTTCACTGTGCTTCACTGTGTTCACTGTGCTTCACTGTGCGTCACTGTGCTTCACTGTGCGTCACTGTGCGTCACTGTGCGTCACTGTT